AGTCACTAACAAATGTCCTTGTTGTTYCTAGGCAATTCACCAGGAGTGCTTGGTAGCCCAGCAGCTCTTCTTGGCTTACCCTTAGGACTACCATTAGCAAGTGAGTCATCATACTAACTAGGACATTTTGCTTTAGATTAGTCTGAAGTTAGTGYGGATAGACTTTTAATGATGTGTTTTCAAAACAACTCGTCTATTAAGAGAAACATCTGCAAATTAAACTGTTTTTGTCTGTATTATTGGTATCAGCAATTKGTTTTATAAGGTGTGAGTAGCACGCAAACAAAAATGGCAGATTTCTCAAYCTCCAGATATAAAATTGTTATGAATATTTGGTAAATCTTTGACTTGCCTTCTTAATTTTTTTGTGTGTGTAGATTTGGCAATGGCTGGTATGGGGCAGAAGTATCAAGGGGGAAGTCCACTAGTTCTTGTCAGTAATCTTAATGAAGAGGTTTGTGCTATCAGGGGATCTTCATTGTCAAGATAACTTGAACAAAAACTGTTYGTTTTGATTTCATGATTAATGGATATTTCCATCTTAAAAATTTTATTTTTTTCACTCTTGATTATTGAAGTTATTTTCTTAATGTGAAAACATTTCTTATTCTCTGTGCCAGTGAATTCAATGTGACTTGCTTCAAGAAATTCCATWTTGAATTTCTCCTTGCRTTTTCAATGTTGCAAAGCTGTTTTCTTGAGTTTCATTTAACGTTTTGTGTCCTTTTCATGTTGTTTTGTATTACAACACCTCAATATCTAAATCAATTATTATTTTTCTAATTTAGTTTTTTTCTGTTACCATAATCCCAATGCATGCACTTTGCATTTGTGTTTTTTCATTTCAATTTTATTTTTAATTTTCATTGTACTTTTTAGGTTAATRCCTTCATTCTTTACTTGCTGAACTATTATTTTTCTTTTCTTTCTCTTTCATTGGACGCCGTGGTTTTTCCTCACTCTTTGCTGGGTTCTCTCTAGATGATTAGCTGTGATGCACTTTTTACTTTGTTTGGTACGTCTGTGTCCTATTCTATCACTAAACACTTACCACTGTTGCATGTCTCTTATTTTTGTGCTATTTATAATACTGGATCAACACACAGTCATGTTCAGTAAYAATTCATAGATATTCTAGAGGTTGTGCTATCATGTAGTAGTCAACATCACTCAGCAACCATTATATCTTGAGTAAAATGGGATCAAAACAGTTCACCCATGTTATTTTACCCAAATCATAGAAGTGTCATTGGTGCTATGGTGTCCTTCAATAYGTGTGATATTCAGTGTTTTACACTGTAGTATAGTTATTTCCTTAGCTACCATTACATTTGCCAAATAATTTACTCAGAAAGCAGGGAAACTTATCCAGAAGACAACAAACTGAAAAAAGTCAGGACTTTTGACTTCGTAGAAACATTGGTGCAACCCAAACATTCATGCACCCCACTCCTGTTAAATCACTACCCCAAATGATTGACAGATGTTAATATTCAAAGTTACAATTGTGAGATCTGCTTGTAGGTTGCTATGGTGATGTGCAGCGAGTAAAGATTCTCTTCAACAAGAAAGATACTGCGTTAGTACAGTTTTCAAATGCACAACAGGCACAGACTGGTATGTAGTCATCGATAGCATTGTTAGAAGTGTTTCTGTTGTTTTTCACATTCTGCTGTTATTGATTTGTACCCTCAATTATTATTATTTATCTTGTCCTCAGCTATTGCMCACCTCAATGGTGTACGTGTGTTTGACAAAGATATCAAAGTCACAATGTCCAAGCATTCGTCTGTCTCACTCCCAAAAGAAGGAGAGGTAAACAGTCAGCAAGTTTGTTTATTGTTTTATCCTTATTTATTAATAATTCGTGAGTTTGATGATTATCTTTATTTCTTTCAGGACAACAACCTGACCAAGGATTACAATAACTCGCCTCTTCATCGATTCAAAAAACCAGGCTCCAAGAACTTTCAGAATATCTTTCCACCAAGCAAAATGCTTCATCTATCAAACATACCGTGAGTGTCCTTGGGATTTCTATGATGCTAATGCATCTTTTCATGGGTATATTTAAGCTCAACAGGCAAAAGGAATGTCATTTGTTAGTATTACTGACAGACTGTGTGATGTCTTTTATAGCGAGGGAGTAACAGAGGAAGATCTTACCTCACTATTCAGAGAAGCAGGAGAGGTTATCGACTTCAGATTTCTACCGTGAGTTCTTTTTCTTTATCAAAAAATATGAGATTGAAGGGG